TCGCCACGCCTACTGTCACGCTTGCTGGTGTGCATACTAGTCTCACCTCCTTCCCATTGCAATAAAACCTAAGTCGTCTGTCACTGCTACAGTTCTTTTTTTATTATATATTTAATGAAATACATTAAAATTAATGACAATAATTTAAGTATTTAAGTTTTACAATATTTGTTTTTATGAACAATATATCTATAAATTTTATATAATTTTGTAAATTTATTTGAATTAAGATATTATTTATAAATTTTTTTTCATTTGAAGTAAACTCTTCCGAGTTTATTCGACTCTCATAAATTTATGTATACTCTCAAGTTTGATAACCTTGGAGTGAAATGCTAACTATTTTTGTTATTTGATTGGATGAGAAATTATTTGAACCGATTTAGTTGTTACTATTTATATACTTCATAATTTCTAAATTATGACTAGTTAAATTCTTTTAATACTTAATCATTTAAGTCAATATTGGATTTATTACTATAATAACTGGGGAAACGATTGTACCCATTTAGATAAGATTATGAATATCAAATTTCGACGTACAATTATATTGTGTTGTTATAAAGTCTGAAAGCATCTAACTACAGTGAAAAGTCTAAGCTATTTAAGTATTCAATAACTTCAATAAATTTTTTTTCTCTAATGGCGTAACTCTTTAAAATAATTTCTATAATTTTCTCACATATTTTAAAGAATTATCAAGAATGATTTTTTTTTTTGTAGAATTTGATTTTATATAAGGATTGATATATCATAATTAATCTTTAAATCATATTATAGAATGTTGTGGCTCCTCACTGCAAAGAAAACGTGGTTTATGTCTACCCGATAACAAAGCCTTTTGAGGCGAGGATTCCACAGACCCTTAACTAGAATGGACATAGTTTGGTGAAGCAATAATTACATTTTGGTTTTTAACTGCATTGTCACCCCTGCTGGAAGCATTCTGGGGACTTGCTTTATTTGTGAAAGATTTCTTAGCGACTTCGTACGACGTATTGATCCAAGAATGTTCTCACTCTTTTCGGAACAAATCAGTTCCTTTATTTCCACAACCTATAAATGGACAACAGAAAACCATATGCATATTGCTGGTTTAAGAAAGCACCAAAGAGATCAAACAGGTTATGATAAAATAGAATATCTTTTTTAATTCATTGATCTTCAGTTCCATCATTTGCAAATTGTAGTTAAAGAAACCGTTTAAAGACAAAAAACCGCCGAAAACCGTCAGAAAATTTTAAACGGTTAAAACCCCAAATTCATCATTTTGTTTTGATTTCATGATTTGTTTCTCTTTGGCTAGAATGGATGAAAGAGAACCAGAAATGGGCATAAAAGTGTACAATGCAACTCCACCAGCAGGGGAAGGAGGAACAAACAAGAACAAGCGTCGTGCATTGATGGCAAAGGGTGTTCAGAAAACGCTATCCAAAACTTCTCTCCTCGGAAACTTCCTTCCCACGGGCACTCTCCTCACCTTCGAGATGGTGCTGCCTTCAATCTACAAGAACGGAGAGTGCAGCCACGTGCAGACCCTCATGATCAACTTCCTCCTCGCTGTCTGCGCCCTCTCATGCTTCTTCTTCCACTTCACCGACAGTTTCCACGGTCCTGACGGAACCCTCTACTATGGCTTCGTCACCACGCGCGGCCTCTCCGTCTTCAAGCCTTCTCTCCCCGCCGTGCCTGTGCCTCGCGACGACAAGTTCAAGGTGGGGTTCACCGACTTCGTCCACGCCGTCATGTCCGTGATGATCTTCGTGGCCATTTCCGTTTCCGATCACAGGGTCACCAACTGTCTGTTCCCTGGGCGCGAGAAGGAGTTGGAGCAGGTTAGGGAGAGTTTTCCTCTCTTGGTCGGACTCCTCTGCAGTGGCCTGTTCCTCGTCTTTCCCACTTCCAGACATGGAATTGGTTGCATGTCTGCCTAGTTGCATGTCTGCCTAGTTCCTTCCGTTCCTTTCTTTAAGATATTGTCTTTTCTGTTTCATCAATAAATATTAGGGTTCTAATGTATATATCATGTATGATTCTCTTCATAATATATGATGTATGATTCTCTTCGTAACTGACATTCTCAACAGTGTGTGTTCTCTATTTTTTTCTGTACATTAACAAAACTGGGATGCTCACACAGCTCTCAAAGTTGGTGGAGTCTCGAGTTAGTACAGGGTCTGTGTTTCTTTGAGATTTCATGTGATAATTTTGAAGCCAAGTAGTTTTTGCACTAATCGCAGCAGTCATTGTCATATAATGGAGTGGAGTAGTCCATCCCGAAAATTCTACATCAAGATAGCATATAGCGGGATGATTACTTATTTGAATCCTAAACCCTACGCATAGATTTGTTCAAAACATGTGTATGCTGAAATAAAATAGAAAAACATTTGAATTTAAAGACATGCACAAATGAATGATCAAAATCTAGTGTTTGAGATGCCGATCGGCTGAGCACTATGTGAATCTGCTGGGTTTGTTGGGAATTTGCCAGGTTAAAACGGACTTTATTTCTGCTAATGTAATAGTAGCCAAAGTGGCACAAATGGCTGCGGTTAATATTGCTCTTGGTGTGACAGGAACTGTGAAATGATGAGCTTCTGTGGAGCAGCTGCTAGCTGTGTCATGAAGCTGTTACAGTGCCACTAAACACATGATTGAAAACTCTGGCTCTAATATAATTTGTTTTGCTGCTTATTCTTTTTGGTTCATGTCAGGATCCTTATTATTCTGCGGTTAGCATCTTGGATTATTGATTTTAGTTTGTTGATTTCACAGTATCGTTAAAGTAGGCCATTAGTGTACACCAATTTTATGTTGATTCTATTCACAAATGGTCGGAGTATTGAACTCAGAAAGAAACATTTTCCGAGGGTAGTTTCTTATGAGACAATTGTACAATAAATTTGCATTATGATAAGTTAATGAATGTGGATATCGCTGCAGATCCTCTTCCATTTGTCTTGTACTTTCTTTAATAGTTTCAATTTCATGTAGTGCATTTAAATGAAACACTTTGTAGTTTAATTAAGGAAAATTTTCCTTCTAGGAAACCATGAATGCTAAAGGGAAATTCCCTTCTCAATAATGAATGGAAATATGGTAATGAAAATATGTTAGTAATTAGCTTTTGCAGTTTTCATCTATGAAAAAATTATTAATTTGGGATCTTGTGTAAACAAACTGAGATTCTAAACGAGGAATCTGAGAAATCAAGCTAAAACCGTATCATAGAAAGTCAGATTTGCATACTATAATTAGTACATCTGAGCTTCTGAACACTTGCAATCTACAACATTAAAGTTACACAATCCTTATAGCGCCAAAATTTCTTTCCAATCCCCATCATAAACCCTCTAACTATAACCTGTAGAATTTAAACAGCTTGCACGGTTATTTTCCCTCGTACAACAATTAGTACAATGAAACTATTCAACATGAATTAGCTCCAAAAGTTTGCTTTGATGGAAATAAATGCAAAATGTTCACCATTGGTATTTGGCTGCAAGAAGCACCTCCTCATACTGCAGAGCAGCATTGTCCCAACTTAGATCTTGTGTCATTCCTCTCCTTTGGAGGCCTTCCCAGCTCTTCTTATACTCCCTATAGGTCCATAGGCAGTTCCCTAATGCATTTGATAACTTACCTGAATCAGCACTTTCAAATGTCCACCCAAGGCCAGACTCACTGAAAGGATCAAAAGGCTGCACTGTGTCTCTCAGTCCACCAACAGCATGTACAACAGGAACTGTTCCATAGTTCATGGCATAGAGTTGGTTCAATCCACATGGCTCAAACCTTGATGGCATGAGCAATATGTCTGCGCCTGCAGTTATCCTGTGAGCCATCTTCACTGAAAAGCCAACCCACCCCCTTATCTTGTCATTGTGTTGGCTTTCAAATTGCCTAAGCATGTGTTCTAGATCAGGCCTTCCAGAGCCTAACATGACTAATTGCACATCCTGACTCATCAACCAAGGAATTGCTTCAGCTATGATATCAACTCCTTTCTGTGGATCCAACCTTCCAATGAAGCCAATTAGTGGGACATCCTCACGTATAGGCAAACCAAGCTCCTTTTGCAATGCTGTTTTACATTGCCGTTTGCCACTAGAAAGTGTCTCAAGGGAGTAGTTAGTGTAGCCATCTGATTTCAAGTGAACATCAAACAGAGGGTTCCAATCTTTGTTGTCAATTCCATTCACAATGCCCCTCAATTTCCAATCATTCTCGTTTATGATCCCATGCAAGCCCCAACCACCTTCAGAAGTTTTCAGCTCCCTTGCATACCCATGACTAACAGTGACAACACGGTCTGCTGTCTTTAAACCAGCGGCAAAGATGTTGAAATGGTCACCTCCAATGGGGTCATATAATTTGAAAAGGTCCATGTGGTGTTCAGGTAAATCCACAAAGAAAAAATCATCAACAGGCCCCCTACCCTGTAATAGAAATTTGTTTCAATGTTCTTTCTCAATATAGGAAACAGTGCAGTTTAGACTAATTAAGTAAATGAAAACAGCTTTAGTGATCTGCATGCCCCCCACTTTAGGTAGTTTCTTTTTTAGAGGTATAAGTTCGATTTCTGATATAGGTGGTTGGTAATTTAGTAACTCAAACACATCGGTTGAGTAAAGCATTTTTCTTGATTTGTTACTTTCATTTGCTTTCTGAAAAGACATATGAATATTTTACATCAGAATTGACTGAACTTTTTTACATCATTATCTTCAAAGGGTTTATAAAAGCTACTGTGGTACTAGATTCTTCTATCACTCTGGTTACTGTGATTAATGATAATCATAAAATACATTTATTTCCCATCCAAATAGACTAGCCGACCATATTCATGGTTAAAACACGAAAAATGTATCCATCAGCTCCTTAACATGCTCCACAAAAACAATGAATTAAAAATATTAAAATGGTTTTCTAGATTCAGATGGAACCTGATGAGCTATGTTATGAATCACTAGAATTGATCTTGTATACTTCATCAAACCCTGCTCACGATAATACGCCTTCAGATACACAGGCAGCAATGCAGTATGCCAATCATTTGCTATGAAGGCTAAATTTCCATCTCCATAGCAAACACCTCCACATGGAACGTGCCATGGAACCTGCAATTGTTAAATTCGTTTTGTCTCATTGCAGGTATGCAGAAATAAGGATTTAAAATAAAACTTTACAGTTCATAAAAGCATAGCAATCGTGTTAGCCACATATGTCCATATATATATATATATATATATATATTGTTTCAGCATAACAAAACAGCAAATGCAATCTGCTAAACAGCTCTTGAAATGTTATAGCTGAGTTTTCCATTTCCGGATTCAGTCACTTCAGAAATCAAATTAGTTTACGTACCTCAACTGCTGCCTTGCAAAACAGCACCATACGTTTTAGAATATCCTGTACCATAAAGGACAACATGAGTCAAATAGCTCAGAAATAATACAAACATAACATTACAGCATTTTGTTTAGACCTTGCAAATCATCTAACTAATGGTGGAAAACAATAGCTTACAAAATCAGAAGGCTACTTTTCTTTACCCATCTTTTCTCTTTTTAGCGCCTTGAGAAAGTGATGGATAATGTTATACGATAAACACTGATGATACATAACAATAGCCCTTAACTTAACAAATAATAGACTATTACCAATCGGCTTCCCCCATATATGTTACGTTCTAGATGATGAAAAAGTGGATTGTCAATGAAAACGAAATCTACACCATCGATGTAGGCTTGGAAATATCTTACTTCCGCCTCCTGTAAAATAATAATTGGAAAGGTTACAGCACTCTTAAAATATTATCAACTTAATAGATTCAAAGAATTTAATTAGTCACTAATAAAGTATACTGCATACATGACCATCTACTTTGTACCATTTTCGCACCCCTGTATCTTGGGCTTCCGCATAATTACCATAGCGAGGTGCCACAACCTATACAGGAGAGAAAGAAAAGAGAAAATTGATATACTATTACCAAGGAAAATATTTTGTGAAGTTCATGTTGATCATCCCTTAGCAAGCAGCAAATTTGAATAGTGTGATTCTTTCCCTAGAATGTGAGACTGAATTCATTAAAAAATTAGCATTTTACCATAACTCTATGTCCACGTTTGGCCAAAGCCTTTGGCAAGGAACCAACTACATCACCAAGCCCACCTATTAAAATTAGCATAGGGATATAAGTCTTTATATTACATAAAAATGAAAATGACAAGCATTGAAAGGCAATAAATAGTTTGGCAAAGAGATGAAGATAGAAAGAGCTCAATGGATCTTCTCATGGAAGTAATTAAAAACCTATGTACAGGTATAACAAAAGTGTTCCCAATTATTTTTTAATCTTTTGTCATTTATTCATGTTTTTAAACAACCCTGAAAACATTTAATGCATGCATTGGATCACACATAACCAGTTTTACGTTGTTAGATTAAGACAAACTAAGTTGTTGTGAGTATTATAGTGTGTCTCTCCAATTCTCAATAGTGCCTAACTTACCTTGTAATAGGACAGATAATCAACATGAATTTAACAAGGAAACTCAGATCAAGTTATTACCTGTTTTTGACCAGGGAGCACATTCTGCTGCGACCAATATGACATTCATGACATTGATCCCTGCCAAAGGTTGGGGTGTTTCTGTTTCACCTTCACTCTCAATAGGGGTAGTAGATTCACTCGTACCTTCCTGATTCTCAACCTCTAGACTCAAATTTTCAGTACCATTTGCAAAGAAGGCCGAGAGAGTATCAGGCCTATTAGTCTCATGTGTCTTGTCTTTCAGCTTTTCATTTAAATATATGGCAGAGGAAGCCTTTTCAGGTGAGAATTCCACAGACCCTTCACTAGGATGGACATAGTTTGGTGAAGCAATAATTCCATTTTGGTTTTTAACTGTATTGTCACCCCTGGTGGAAGCATTCTGTGGACTTGGTTTATTTGTGAAAGATTTGTTGGCGAGTTCATAAGACGTCCTGTTCAATTCTGATCCAAGAATGTTCTCACTCTTTTCGGAAGAAACCAGTTTCTTTATTTCCGCAACCTACAAATGCCAAGAGAAAACCATATGCATGCATGGAATAACTTGCTGGTTTAAGAAAGCACCAAAGAAATCAACAGATTATGATGAAACAGAATATATTTGTTAGTTGATTGATCTTCAGTTCCATTATTTGTAAACTGTAGTAAACGAA